AACTCCTTCCGCCGCATCCAAATCCACCGACGCCGCTGTCACGCCCGTGCCCCTCTACGCGCCGGCCGACAAACATTTGCGTCAGATCAGCGTGCGCGGCCTTATGTCACAGAAGGCAGGAAGCTCCTGGCTGAACCGCATCCCCAGAAGAAATTCTTCACGGACCGTGTCAAGGGTGAGATCGCATGCCAGCGAAGGCCCCCTCACCTCGCGCTCACATGAGCAGCCCGCGAACGAATGGGACAGCGCCGGCCGCCGGGAGGTCGAGATGATTTGCGAGGGGATGGGCAGCCAGATCAACGCCCTCATCGGCGGCCCTGCAGTGGGCCCCAGCGGTCTGTTTCGCAGCACTGTCACTTTTACCCTTTCTTCCTCGGTGGACGACGTTGCCCTGGAGATCAGCGATTGGGGCGCTCGCGCCCTTTTCCACCGCGACCCCTTCACTCGTCCTCGCAAGCGGTCCTTCCTCCGCCCCTCCTCGACTGTGGACTCACGTCGCAACGGCGGCGTTGCTGCGCCCCCGCCCCCCGCCGGCTCCCACTTTGGCTCCGGCGGCGAGTCGGCGGTCGCAGGTGGGTCGTCGGCGGGGGGCAGAGCTCCCCGTGCATGCGTCAAGCTGGGCCCCCAGAAGCAGGAGTGCTTGGGGGCCTTTGCCGTCCGCCGCTATGACTTGCGCGATTGTCAATCGCGATGGGGATTGCTGCTCGCGGCGGCGCTGCACTTGAACGCGCGCTTGTGCATCATGCATCATGCACGTTTGCGGCCGCTGGCGATTACAACTTCTCGCGCGAGCCGCCGACTCCGACTACGCCGCCAGCTTATTTTTATATTGCCCCCGCCGCGAAGGATTGGCGCCGATCTCGCGACGCGGCCTGGGAAAAATGGCCCTGGGACCCGCGATGGAGGTCGACGCCCCCGGCTCTGCCCACAATGTTGGGACCGTCGACCATTCCTCAACAATCGATGCGACGTTTATCTCGGGGCCCGGCTGGAAACTCACCCATGGGCCGACCGCGGCCTCCACGACATAAAATTTTTTTGATGCTCTCGAGCAGCGGCATTGCCCTCTTCCTGGTCTTGGTTCTCAACGCATTCCTAATCGCCACTTCCATCGCCCGCGATTCCTGGAGCGCGCATTCCTGGCTAGGGAAACGCGGGCGAAACAGGCGCATCCCCGCCGACCGAGCCGAGACGAGGCACTACACAGTGGCGATCAAAGAGGGTACCCGACAGGTTCGCAACCGCTTTCTCGGAGAATACCCGGCGGGCCCCAAGCGCAAAATGTAAACTGTTCGGGCTATTCATCGCGCGTCGTGGCGTCGAGACATTCGGGGCGGTGCCAGATTTCCCCTATGCGACCCGGGGCCGCAGTATCTCCCCTGGGACTTGCCCCCCCCCCCCCCCCCCCCCCCCTCTCCAGCCGCGCTGTTTTCTGCGAGCAGCTAGAGCGTCCGCGGTGGACCGTCGCTGAGAATCGACGGGCATCGGTCAGGCAGCGCGTCGCAGACCTCCTCTCGGCTGCGACGAAGGCAAGGCGCGACGTCGGATCCTCGCCCTTCCTTCCTGCGCACGTTTGAGGGCCCTTTCCTCAGGCGATGGTGCATCTCTTGGCTGGAACTCCGAAACTCTACTGCCTCGACCGAGGCCGACATCCAGCAGCGCATCGCACAGCATTGGAGGGAGGCATCTACTGACAAAAAAATAGATCCGAGGGCTACCGCCAACTATTCCGAGAAGTCTGCCCCAATGATCCTGGTTCCCGAATTGGGGCCTCCATAGATTCAGGATATTCGGGGCATTCTTAGGGGCGTCTCGGATCGGGCTTCCAGGCCCGTCGACGTTCCTCTCTCCGCGTGGCGTGGGGCCCCCGACCCGGCCGCGCTGGCGGCAATTGAGCGGGGGCCACATGCCGCGCGGGCGCGGCGTTGTCCTGGGCTTTCTCATCCCGCAGCTTTTGCCGAAGCAGACCCCATGCCTGGGATACGTCCGTCCTGCCAGTGGTTTCCTGCCTCGTGGGCTCAAACAAAGAGCAAGCTGATGGGGCCGCTGGTTTTCCGACAGCTATCCCGCGCGTTGCCCGAGCTTTTTTTTTTCGCGAATGCAGCGAGGTTTCGTGGCAGGCCGTAATTTTGGACAGGATACTGTGGGATGCGACGGGAACGCGCGTTTGTATTCGGCTCGTTCGCAGGCCATGGTTTTCTCAAACCAGCGCTTGAGACACGACATCAGCGCCGCCTTCCCGAGCCCGGCGCGCGATCGGCTCCATGTGGCACTGGGGTTACGCGCGCTGCCGTTTCCATTTTGTTTTTTTTTGGACGGAGCTATATCGAGGCCCCGTTTGCCGCGGCGTCTCTGCGTCTGAGCTCGTCGCGCTCGTCCTGGCCTCGAGCGGCGTCGCGCGGGGCCGCCTGGCCCCGGGGCCTCTTTTTCCGATCGCAGCGGGCCCGCTTCTTCGAGGCAGACAGCCGAACATTGGCAGTCGCGGCCGCGAAGCCGCCCGGGCGACGCGGGCGCCGCAGTCGCGGAGATCTGGCCATTGAAGACATTAGTTCGCATCTCCGACGGCTCTGCCTTCATAGCTGCCTTGGCGTTGAAGTGCTCGAAGTGCGTTGTCGCGTCGCTGAGCGGCCAATTATCCGAGGGCGTGCGCGACGAGTGCTCCGAGTGGAGCGCTGCCGGCGCACCTCCTGGGGCGAGTTCCCTGCGCGCGATCGGTTGAAATACTTGGGTCTCCGGCTGGGCCCGAGCGTGACCAACGATTAATGGAAAGAGCCTTTCGCTGAATGGGTTGACCGCGGCTCCCTGTTAGCTTCTCAGGGTGTTCCTGCTGTGGTCGTTTCGCATCACTATGACGCTAGATGCCATCTCTCTCTCTCTCTCTCTTTCTCTCTTTCTCTTTCTCTCCCTCCATTGCGTCTCCCAGGCCCCCCCCCCTCCAATCTTCAGCACCGCGAGAGCGCGGCGATCGATGGACTGCGAAAGATGCCTCGCTGCGCGCTGCCGAGCTCGGGGAGGCCCGAAGTTTCAACGTTCGGCGTCCACTTGCTGTGTTTCCCTCGTTCGGGCTAGCAAAGTCTACTCTGGCCATCTGGACCGAGCATCTTCGGGGGCTGGAGGCCGAAGCTCGACGCATTGACGAACGCTTGCTTGCCGGTCTGTGTGGCGAGCAGCTTTGCCGCCTTCTGGAAGCAGCCCGCCTTCGCCGAACTCTGGGCTGCGGCGCAGAAGGGATTCCCAGGGGAGATTGGTTGTGGTCTCCCCACCTCTTCCGGCCCCTCGCGACTACGCGTCTTTGCCGCCGCTGCCCGCGCGGCCTTGACCTCTCTTATTTCCCAGCCTCCACCGCGTGGGAACGGGCCCGAGCTGCGGATCCAGCGCGCCCTCGCCTTGGCAGCGCGCGAACATGTTTCGCCCCGAAGCCTGGTCAAAAGCCTTGTCTCGACGTCTTCCCTCGAGGTACCCATTGTCTCTCGCCGGAGCTCGCTCGCCACCGCGGCCCGTCATCCAATCCACCATCTCCGCCATGCCTGCCGCCGACCTGAAATTCCCCATGCGCGGCTGGCCCGCCCCCGCTCGACCTCGACAGAATGAACTGCGTCGTTTCAAGTGCAGCCCCCGCGGCGCTGATTCTCAGAGTCACAATTGGTCCTTCCCCATCCCTCTATCGTTTCTCGCTGATCTCGTCTCTGTCCCGCGTCTCCCTTCCTGTCCCATTGCTCGCGCGGGGTTTTGTGCCCCGCCCAAGGCTTCCATCGCCATCTGAGTGTTGCCACCATGCTCTTTCATGCTTTGCATGCCCTCGGCCCGCCCATCTCTAATCTTCTTGGCGGGGCGCATAGTTCCAGCTGTGCGCCTCCAGTGGCTTGCGGCTGAGTGAGCATGAGCCTGATGCGCCAGGCACGCGCGAGGAGGAGGAGGAGGAGGAGGAGGAGGAGGAGGAGGAAGATGAGGAGGAAGGGGTGGAGTGGGAGGAGGAGGACGAGGAGTGGAACGTGGCGGAAAGAGGAGAGGAGAGGATGAGGCGGGAGGGAGGGGGGGTGGGGGGTTGAATTGAGGGAAAGCGCGGGGATGATGAATTGACGTCGTTGCAGGAGGAAGGGGGGGGGTGCGACGAGGAGGACGACGGGAAAGGAAAAAAGGTGGGACAGGACTGGGACACTCGACATAGGGAGGAAGATGCCGACCGAGGAGAAGACGGTTGATGATAGCGATGGTAAGCGCGCTTTGGAACGAACAGGTTTGATTCAAACTCAGAAAAGGACCTGGCATCGCTCGGACGTGTGCATTTTCCTCGGCGAGGACCATCGAGGAGCACCTTGGACCACCGAGCAACAACAACAAAAACACACGAAACCGAAGCATGCACGGGGATAGACGTCCGAACGACAGCAAAAGGAAAGCCAGCATGTATTCGGGGATATGTTTACCATCATCTGAGACCCTGGCGTCGCAATTTTTCGAGCCAGGCGATTTCGCTTGGTGTTGGGCCCCTGGGTTCTCGCAAATCGGCCTGGTTCGACAAATCTCGCAAAAGTATGAGGACTGGTGGTTGGGTCGCGATGCATCGCGACGTCGCAACTGTCTCGCCATGCCGGATCCCATGGAACACGCAACATCGCGAGAAGTCGCGACGGGGTGCCGTAGACATTAGCTGCCTGTTCCACTTTTCAAAGCCAAAAGTGCCACGTGAGGGTAGCAGAGCCAGGAATTGGGCGAAACCGCCCGGTGCGACGAAACTTGCGACGCCAGGGCCTCAGGGGCCCGGGCGCGCCGCCGAAAGGCCCACATACGGTCCAGCACGTCCTCGCTCGGGCGGCCGACCCGCGCGCATTCTTCGCCCGCAGTGAGCTGGGCGCGGTCGCGGCCGGCGAAACCGCCCGGTGCGAACAAATGGCGACACCAAAACCTTCAGGGCCGCCAGCGGCGACGTCGACGAGGCGGCGCGGCAGCGGCCTCGCGGCAGCGCCGGCGCGGCGGCGCGGCAGCGGCGCGGCGGAGAGGTGCCCAGCGACGCGCGGCAGCCGCCGCCGCCGCCGGGGAGGTCCCGGCACCCCCCGCCGCGCGTCGACCGCGCGCCGTCCTCCCAGAGCCCCTCACGGTGCGATCGGCATGCGTATGGACAGCATGGTAGCGAATATGAACCATACACCTTAGGCGATGCTTAAGAAAACTTAAGTTTTCGGCCAGAGTCTAGATTATTCTTATTGTTTCAATGGAAATCCTAACTTTTTACTAGAAATTTGGGGTTTTTATTCAAATTCTGAGACTATGAATTTCTTAACCCATGATTTCTTAAGCATTTCGCAGGGTGTATATTGCATTCTTTCTGACTAGGAATCGATGTACGCGCCGCCGTGGGTGTGGCCCATTCGGTGCAGAAGGTCGCCTCTCCAACAGCGGCCGCTGTCGGTGTTGGACAACATTTTGCTCTTGGGCATCGTACCCACTCTTCCCGTGCACCCGCTTCGGGCATCGAAGTCCCAGCCCTTCCTCGCTTATTCCTCCTATTCCTCCTCCTTGTCCTCCTCCTCCTCCTCATCCTCCTTTCCCTCTCCCTCCTCTTCCCCCCCATCAGGTCATGAAGAAATCACGACGGACAGGCTTCTTATGGGTTTCTGGGGGGCCTCAGTTGACCTCAGTGCGATTCCTGTCGCTGCCATGCTGCCTCTAGTGACCCCCTTTTCCCCGCCGCTTGCTTTGCCTAAAACATTTGGTTGCCTTTGGCCTCAGACTTACGAAAGCTTGTGCCAGCAATACTGACAACAAGGTTTGATCAACGATCATTCCACATCACAGTGGTTGTTTGGAGCGTGCTGCCTCCACCTGCCTGGCGCGCGGCGCCAGGCACATTCCAGTCCTACGGGGCCCAGGTTTCGCCAAGACGACGCCGTCGAGGAGAGTCGTGGAATCGAAGACCAGTGTCTTCTTCTTGTTGTTGCTGCTGCTGCTGCAGCAGTAGCTCTTCACCTAATTGCGTCAGCGAAGCCGCCGACGACAACTACTACCAGCTCTTCTCCCGCGTGAGCGAAGCCGCCGACGAGTCCATCTACGATCTACGCCTACCATCCGCAATCCCACGTCAGCAATGCCGCCGACGACATTACGCCTTCCAGCTTTCCTCCTACGTCAGCCAGGCCGTCGACGACTGAGGCGCGGACGCATGCAGGCACAACCGCGGAGGTTTTCGGTGGGGCTCCCTGTGGGGCCGAGAAACGCTGTACTGGGTGGCGCGGACGCATTGGACGCATGTATTCACAGCCACAGTGGAGCCCGGTGGGGCTCCCTTTCCCGCCACGACGCGCTGTGCTGGGTGGCGCTGGCGCATGTGGTCACAGCCACTGGCGCCTTTGGTGGAGCTGGTCATGGGGCCCCGAAGCACTGTGCTGGTGGTCGTCCTGCGGAGGCCTCGGGCGGGTGCCGCGCTGGCGTCTCCGGGAGGGGACGATATCGAGTAGGGGATCGATTATAGAATTGAGTTACCCCGAAATTGTTTTCTTTGTTGCCGAAAATACGAGAAACATGTAGAAGGTTTCGGGGAGTCGACGAACACAACAGATTCGGGGTAGATAAATTCTGTAGTCGATCCCCTACTGCAAGAGTAGCCAGGGCGCCCGCCGCTAAGGAGCCCGTCGGCGTGCGGTTTCCTCGCGTGTGTCCGCAGGGATGAGGCCTCCTCGGCAGGCCCACGCTGGTGACTTGCCGGCTCCTCGCAGAGTCACACTACTGCATGCATATGAACTAGCCACGGAGCACGCGCCGCCGCTTGCAAGCCCGTCTGCATGCTGCTTCTCCGCGCTTGTCCGACGGGATGGAGCCTCCTGGACAGGCGCACGCCGTTGAATTGCCCATGGCTCGAAGACAGTAAAGCTGCATGAACATGAATTGTCCACGGTCCGCGCGGATGTCTTGGGTCTCCGCCAGGAAGGGGGGTCCGGCGCAGATCCAAGGAGTCCGCGCGGAGTTCCAACAGTTAATGTTTATACCGCTGTCTAGTCCCTCGACGGATGGGGTCTCTTGAGCCGTCGCAGCAGAATGCCTCGGGATGGGGAGTCGGTTTGAGGGGCACGCCCCCGGGTCAGGGCCCGTTGCCCGCGGGACTCGCCTCCTCTGCATGTCCGTGAGCGGGCAGGTGTCCCTGCCCCTGCTGGAGGAGGGTCCGTTGCGACGACGGCGGCTCGTCCGCCCGGCCTGAGCCCTGTCAATATCGGTCCCCGGACCCCTCGATCTCCCTCAGGGGAGGAGCAGGCACGCGCGCCGCTACCCCTCGCCCGTTCTCCCCCTCTTGGGCCTCGTGAGAGGCCCTCTTCGCCACCGATGGATTCGCTGGGGGGTAGCGGTATCGGTATCGTTTGGGTTGCCCACTTCTGGGTGTCACTAACTTCCGAGGAAACTCCTGACCCATTCTTCGAGGCGGATCCCTCCGTGGCGATCAGAAACCTCCATCACGCCCAAAGGCCCTCATATTGGAGCTCACAGAGGATGAACGATTCCCCGACCCGTTAATCTCTCGTCACCACGGCTGGATTGATCTGGACTGGCCTCGAAACCCCGATCAGAATTCAGTTTGAAAGAGGTCGGGGGAGTATGGTGTAACTATTGCGAAGGCCTTACGGCCGGTGCCGCCGACCCTGAGAACGACGAAGGTGAACACGAGGAGGGGGGGCAGGGGGAGGAGGATGAGCGGGAGGTGGAGGAAGGGTTGAGGAGGTGGATGAGGGAGGAGGAGGGGGGAGAAGGATGTGGAGCAGAAGCAAGAGGAGGAGAAGGAGGCAGAGGAGAGCAGGATGAGGGGGAGCAGAGGGGGGAGGAGGAGGAGGAGGAGGAGGAGGAGGAGGAGGAGGAGGAGGAGGAGGAGGAGGAGGAGGAGGAGGAGGCCAGAGGCTTTCTTGGGACAGCCTGGGGCTCTCTTGAGGCCGTCTTGGGCCGTCCAGGGCTCCTCTTGCGCCGTCTCGAGGCACTCTTGGAGGCCTCCTGGGCAATTTGGGGCTCTCCTGGGCTGTCTTGGGGCAGTTTGGGGCCCCTTGGGAGCCTCTTGGGGCCTCTTGGGGCTTCTTCGGGGCCTCTTGGGGGCCTCTTGGGGCTGAGAGCTCGAAATGTCCGTTCGGGTCCCCCGTCTGGGCACTCTTGGGGGCCTCCTGGGCCGTCTTGGAGGCGTCTTGGGCTGTCTTGGGGCCCTCTTCGGCCGTGAGGGGACCCTATTGGGGGCCTCTTGGGCCGTCTCGGGGCGATCTTGGGGGCTTCTTGGGCCGTCTCAGCGCGTCGGGAAGCGGAAGAGGCAAGAACGCCAGAATCATTCGAAAACGTATGGAAGATCCATGAATTTTGCTTCTTGGGGCTCTCGTGGGAAAGCTCCTGGAGGCCTCTTGGGGCGCTTTGCAGGCCTCTTGGGCCGTCTGGGGGCCGTCAAGGCGTCTTGGACAGATCGTTCGGCGATTCGGGGTTCTCGTAGACTGTCTTTGGGGCCTCTTGAGGCACTCTTGGCCCGTCTTGGGGCTTTTTTGGACTCCGGGACTCCCGGGATATCTTACCCACCCTCCTAGGACCCCCCCCACCCCCCACCCCTCTGGCGGGGGAGGGATCGAAGGGAAGGGGCTGCCCTTCGACTCAATTACGACGTTGCTCAACTTCGCTTTGGCTGGCGCGCTGAGGAGGTCCCTGGGAAAGGGGGGAGCTTCGACGAGCCCAGGGAAAGGGGGGAGGCAGGGAAAGGGGGCAACAGAGACGACGACCAACGAATGATGGAGATGACGACTTGAACGGACAAGCCCCTCACACACGCCGAGTTTGAAAGAGGTCGGTGGAGTATGGGGTAACTATTTTGGTTCCCAGAGGGAGGAAGGGAGAATAATGATTATGGGGAAATTGGCGGAGAGGGGAACGGGCCGAACGATCAGGCTGAAGGGGGCGAAAGTGGGGTTGGGGGAGAAAGGCTGAGAGAGGAGGAGGCGGAGAAGTGAATGCGGGAGGCAGGGCTGACAGGGGAGGGATCAGGATGTTCCAAGACTCTAAAGATTCCTCTCGCTTCGCGGGGTGCACGTCCGGAGCACGTACAGTCACGTCGTCGAGGGGCCTCTTGGGAGCCTCCTGGGGGCCTCCTGGAGGCCTCTTGGGAGCTTCTGTGGGCCTCTTGGGGACTTCTTTGGGGCCTCTCCCCCCCTCCTTTTCATACTCCCTCCCCATCTTCCTTTCCAGCGCCGTCTCTAAACACGGGCGCCGCCGTGACCAACTTCCACCTGACTGGCGCTGCGCCGCAGTTCGCCCAGGGGGAGAAAAATGACATTACACTCCAGTCGTTTTGTGGCCTTGGGGGGGCTTCTTTGAGGCCTCTCGGAAGCTTCTTGGGGACTTCTTGGAGGCCTCTTTGGTTTGTTTTTGGGGCCCCTTGGGGGCCTCTCGTAGTCTCTTGGGGGCGTCTTGGACCGTCTTGGGGCGTTTTTGCGCCGTTCCGCCCCTTCGGAGGCCGTCTTGGGGGCCTCTCGCGGCCGCCTCGGGGTTCTCTTGGGGTCCTCTTGGGCCGCCTCAGGGTTTTTTTTTGGACCGTCTTGGGGCCCTCTTTTGGCCGTCTTGGGGCCCTCGTGGGCCGTTTGGGGGGCCTGTGGGGGGCTTCTTTGAGGCCTCTTGGAAGCTTCTTGGGGACTTCTTGGAGGCCTCTTTGGTTTTTTTGTTGGAGCCCCTTGGGGACCTCTTGGGGGCCTCTTGGGGGCCTCTCGGGGGCATCTTGGGCCGTATGGGGGCGTTTTTGCGCCGTTCCGCCCCATTCGGAGGCCGTCTTGGGGGCCTCTCGCGGCCGCCTTTGGGTTCTCTTGGGGTCCTCTTGGGCCGTCTCAGGTGTTTTTTTGACAGCCTTGGGGGCCTCTTTGGGCCGTCTTGGGGCCCTCCTGGCCCGTTTGGGATCCCGCTTGGGGGCGTCTTGGGTCTTTTTGGGGCAATTTTGGCGGCTGCCTGGGCGGCCATGGACTTCTGAGAGTCGAGAAAGGAGAGAAAGTTTGAATCTTTATATAACAACTATAGGACAATTAATGATTTTGGCGTCTGGAGGCA